CACCTCTTAGAACCTCTCATTTCCTTTCCATCGTGGAAATCTATCCTCAAGGAAATCACTTCTCAGTGTTCCATCTGCTATTCTACTACTCCTCAGGGATTGTTCAGGCCCCCTCCCTTCCCTACATATCAAGCTCGGGGATCTGCCCCCACCTAGGACTGGCAAATTGACTTTACTCACATGCCTCAAGTCAGGAAACTAAAATACCTCTTGGTCTGGGTAGACACTTTCACTGGATGGATAGAGGCCTTTCCCACAGGGTCTGAGAAGGCCACCATGGTCATTTCTTCCCTTCTGTCAGACATAATTCCTCGGTTTGGCCTTCCCACCTCTATACAGTCTGATAATGGACCAGCCTTTATTAGTCAAATCACCCAAGCAGTTTCTCAGGCTCTTGGTATTTAGTGGCTCCTGGTTTTACCTCAAACTGCCACCCTTAAGTATCTCTTTAAGTGGATAGAAGATCTTCAGTGACAAAGTACACTCCAATACTTTCACCCTGATGAAGTCCTGTTCTTTACTTTTATACTTACTCTTATTCTCATTCCTGTTCTTATGTCACCCTCTACCTCTCCCCAGCTATCTCCACCACACTATCAATCTCACTCACTCTCTCCTAGCCATTTCTTAACCTTCTTTAACAAACAATTGCTGGTTTTGCATTTCTCTTTCCTCCAAATTCAACGAGGCCCTGACTTACTGCTAAAAAAAAGGGGGGGACTCTGTATATTTTTAAATGAAGAATGTTTTTACCTAAATCAATCTGGCCTGGTATATGACAACATAAAAAAATTCAAGGATAGAGCTCCAAAACTCACCAACCAAGCAAATAATTACACTGAACCCCCTTGGACACTGTAGTTGGATGTCCTGGGTACTCCCAGTTCTTAGTCCTTTAATACCTGTTTTTTTCTTTCTCTTATTTGGATGTTGTGTCTTTTGTTTAGTTTCTCAATTCATACAAAACTGCATCCAGGCCATCACCAATAATTCCATATGACAAATGCTCCTTCTAACAACCCCACAATATCATCCCTTACCCCAAAATCTTTCTTCAGTTGAATCTCTCCCACTGGAGGTTCCCGTGCCGCCCCTAATCCCGCTCAAAGCAACCCTGAGAAACATCGCCCATTATCTCTCCATACCACTTCCAAAAATTTTCGCCTCCCCAACACTTTACCACTATTTTGTTTTTTCTTATTAATATAAGAAGACAGGAATGTTAGGCCTCTGAGCCCAAGCTAAGACATCATATCCCCAGTGACCTGCATGTATACATCCAGATGGCCTGAGGTAACTGAAGATCCACAAAAAAAGTGAAAATAGCCTTAACTGATGACATTCCACCATTGTGATTTATTTCTGCCCCAACCTAACTGATGAATGTACTTTGTAATAGTCTCCACCCTTGGGAAGGTTCTTTATAATCTTCCCCCATCCTTAAGAAGGTTCTTTGTAATTCTCCACACCCTTGAGAATGTACTTTGTGAGATCCATCCCCTACCCCCAAAACACTGCTTTTAGTTCCATCGCCTATCCCAAAACCTGTAAGAACAAATGATAATCCCACTACCCTTTGCTGACTTCTTTTTTGTACTCAGCCCACCTGTACCTAGGTGAAATGAACAGCCATGTTGCTCACACAAAGCCTGTTTGGTGATCTCTTCACACGGACACATGAGACACTGGCCAGAGATATGCCAGTCCTGAGATAATCTCCCCTCCGGCCAGAGAAATGTCAGCCTCAAGATAACCTCTCCTCCAAACAGAGATATTCCAACCCCACAATAAACTTCTCACCCACACAGAAACATTCCAAGCCTGTGATAAGCTCTCTCACCCTAAAACCAAGATATACTCTGTCTGTAAGAGAGTGGGCTCCTGATCGAAATTGGCCAGAAGCCCCTCTCAGGTTTACGCTCCAAAAATAAACCTGTCTTTGACTGTTGAGCTGCTTTTCATGTTTCTTTCCTTTTTTTTTTTTTTTTTGGTGACATGATCTTGGTTCATTGCAACCTCTTCCTCCCTAGTTCAAGCAATTCTCCTGCCTCAGCCTCCCAAGTAGCTGGGACTACAGGTGCATGCCACCACGCCCAGCTAATTTTTGTATTTTTAG